CTGTTCTTTGGCAACAGGCTATGAATGAAGAGAATGAATCAATGAACAAGAATGCAGTTTGGTCATTAGTTGAGTCAAATAAAACAATGAGGCCCATAGGATCCAAATGAGTATTCAAGAGAAAAAGAGATTCGAATGGAAATGTAGAGAGATATAAGGCAAGATTGGTTGCCAAAGGTTTTACACAGAGGGAAGGTATAGATTACACTGACGCTTTTTCACTAGTGTCATCCAAGGATTCATGGAGAATAATACTTTCGTTGATAGCTCATTTCGACCCTGAGCTTCATCAAATGGATGTCAAGACAACCTTTTTGAATGGAGACTTGGAAGAAAACATTTATATGCAGTAGCCTTTGGGTTTCATTGAAAAAGGAAAGGAAAAAATTGTTGCAAGTTGAGAAAGTCAATTTAAGGATTGAAACAAGCATTAAGGCAGTGGTTCCTTAAATTTGAGGAGAAAATTACAACTTTTGGTTTTACAGAAAACAAAATTGAAGACTGCTTGTACATTAAGGTTTATGGTTCGAAGTTCATTTTCCTTGTGCTTTATGTTGATGACATACTTTTGGCTAGCAATGATTTGAACTTGTTGCTGGAAATAAAAAGGGTGCTAGGCAAAACATTTGATATGAAAGATCTTGGAGAAGCATCTTTTGTTTTGGGGATAGAGATCATACAAGATAGAAAGAGAAATCTATTAGGTTTATCTCAGAAGTCTTTTGTAGAAAAGGTTTTAAGGAGATTTAATATGCATGCAACAAAGCATGCAACACAAGCCATATGCTTCAAACTCAACAAGAATCAGTACCCCAAGAACAATCTAGAGAAACAAGGCATGCAACACAAGCCATATGCTTCTTTAGTTGGAAGCCTAATGTACATTCAGGTTTGTACAATACCTGATTTAGCTTTTTGAATCAGTGTTTTGGGCAGATTTCAAACCAATCTTGGGGAACAATACTGGAAAGTAGCTAAAAAGGTAATGAGATACCTTCAAAGAACTAAAAGCTTCATGCTAGTCTACAAAAGGGTTGATAATTTGGAGCTACTAGGGTATATAGGTACTAATTTTGTAAGGTGTGTGGATGATCAAAGGTCCACTAGTGGGTACATATTTTTCTTAGCTAGAGGTGTTGTGTCTTGGAGAAGCCAAACAAAAAACCCTAGCAACATCCACAATGCAAGCTGAATACATTTCTTGTTTCAAAGTCATGGAACAAGGGCTATTGCTAAAAAATATCATTTCATTTTTAATGGTGGTGGATTCAATTCCTAGACCATTGGTCATTGTGACAATAATTCAGTAGTTTTATACTCCAAGAACAACAAGAAGTCCTCAACTACAAGACTTACGAATGTGAAGTTTTTGTCGGTGAAGGAAAATGTCAAGAAAATAGTGTTGTCAATAGAACACATTGATTCTGTATCAATGATTGCATATCCTCTCACAAAGCCTCTTGCAATGGGAATTTTCAAACAGTATGTACAAAGATGGGAGTGCTAGAGTCATTTGATTCTACTGAAGCGTAGCAGTAAAAGTTAGTATGTTTCAAATTTTCAGTACATGATTGTGTGTTATTGCTTTACTTTTGTACGTGAAAATGTATGAACTCTATTGCTTGGATAAATATGCATTATGAACTGTATTTCATTCAGGCTGAAATATTGCATGAAAGTTATGCATACATGCATACATGCAAACATGTACTGTAAACATTAAGGGTGCAATAGACCATCATTGCTGATTTTAAGAAAATGCCAAGACAATAAACTCATAAAAGGTGATTAAGTTAAAGTATGATAACTTAATTAAAGGGCATAAGGATGTTGTGTGGGAGTATAATATTTGAACTCTCATTCATTCAACGTGTAAATGCATCATGTGTGACTGATGAAAGAGGGATGTAATTTCAAAATGCTTGTGCTAAAGTTTGCACAAGATTTTCTAGGGTTCGAACTTATAAATTAGTCATGACAGATTTATGAGGAATTATAGAACCATATTGACTCGTGTGATCACTAAGGAACTGACGTTGTTGAAACATATATTGATGATTAAACATGATTTGTAAAGTCCAAAGTGGGAGAATGTGAGAACTTAGTTTGGACTATACAAATTATGATAAGGCTTAATTCCAATATATCTTCAGTTAATGTTGATTAAGAGTTAATAATAAGGTTAAAACATATTCCTTGAAAGTAGAACCATAATACACACACATTGAGATAGTGGAGCAACCCATGATTGCCATTAAGCAGAAGTGTTTGAGATTATCAATTGTTGTCAATAATGGGCGGTAGGCAGTTAGATGATCATTCTATAAATATATTGGTCCCTGCTCATAGAAAGTGTGCATTCCATTAAGTATTCTTGATCCATTACTAGAGTGAACCATAAGGTTTTCCAATGAGTAGAAGAGCGATCCTTGTGCAAGTAACAAGACGTCTTCTTCAAGTAGAATTCTTGTACTAACACTACACAAACATGAGAGTTATAGTTTAACAAGTTGTAGTACTATCCTTATCATAGACAAACAAAGTAACAAATGAATTCTAATCCTAATAAGTTTTTACAATAAATCCATAGGAGCGTTCTAGCTCAAATCATCATATCATAAACCAAACCTTTCGCACTCAAAAGCTCGAAATCTCGTATCGCAAATCATAGAAAATTTCTAACTTAAAGTATAATCATAAATCATATTCATAAATATTTTCATGAAGAGTAAAATCAGGAAGTCATACTTTTCATGAATGCAATCCTAGTATTTTTATAAAATCATGCAATTTGAGAAGGGGTCCACCCATAGTTACTCTGACGTCGAAGAGTCGTTCAAACTAAGGGGGACGGGGTGGCCGAAAAACGCCTGTAAAAATCACGGTTCTTGCTGAAAAACTGGGGAGAGCTTCCCCAGTATTGGTCTTGTTCGGAATCGTCGACAACTCGCAGGGTGTTTGATAGGGGAGAAAGTGAACAGCGGAGGCCTTGTCCTAGGTTCGTGATGAAGAGGATTAGCTGGTGGTGGTGGTGCTCGCCAGAGTGGCGAGGCCAGAGGTGGTGCCTCTTGGGTTTTACAGAAGAGGGAGAGAGTGATGAAAAATAGTTTAAGGGAAAGAGAGACGAGGGAAAGGGTTCAAAAAGTCCCCCAAGAGTTTGGGCAAGAAAATGACACGAGGAAGGAGGGGAAGTGGGGTGTGGACCCCACTAGCCACAAAAACTCACCAGAAATTATTAAAATAACACAAATATCCAACCCTAATATCTTGAATAGTGAATTGAATTGACTACTTTGCCCCTTGACTTCGTAATTCCCTAATATGATCATCGTAACTCTGAACTCGATTCTGCTTGTGCCTATGCTTTCGTAGCGACGAATACTACTAGAATATACTAAAAGAATGGGTCAAATGTGTCACTACATGATGGCCAACGAAAGTCAACACTCTCGCCTTTAGGTGCCTTTTGGTCATTTCACACATTTGGTATTAAAATACTGTAAAATCAGGGACCGATCCTAACACCTTGAGTGGAAAAAAGGTGCCACAATCTTGATTGAAGCTTTTAATGATTTTCATGTTTTTAATTTCAATGCTTTCAATTATTTTGAAAAAAGGTTAATATAAACAAAAATAATGTGCATCTTCAATGGAAAACGGGATCCACAATCTTGATTGAAGATTTTAATGCTTTTAATTAATTAAAAAAAAAGGTTGACATAAAAAAATGTGCACCTAATCAAATTATCACCTAAAAGCCTAAAAACTTCAAATTTAGAGATTCTACTATAAGGACTCAACCATTGGAGGCAATATTCATTTAGGGACACAAAGATTCCCTTTAAGACCTTAAATGAGTACTCTTAAGTAGTGGTTGAAGTTCATAAATATTAAAAAATCACTAAATCGACACCTTGAAACTTGTGGAACATTATTAAAGAATATAAAACACATGGAAGAATTTTTTTTTTAAATTATTTTAGCCGTTGGATTTAATGAATTTATAAATATAAAACTAAAAAAACACACATATATGGTGGGCTAGCCCACTAAACCAGAGGGAATCCTAGGCTAAATTTGCTTCAAAAATGAGTTTTGGGTTAAAGCTCATATTTGGTTCAAGAGTTGGAGCAAGTTGAGGTTGGTTTAGAACATAAAATTTGGGTTTTACTCTAAGGAACTTTAACGAAAAACACCCGGTTCTATTCACTTTAACGAAAAACCACATTTTTACACTAAAAAGTCAATTCTGGTACTATTCACTTTACCCTTTATTTTGTCCTTATGATTAAAACTCAAAGTTTTCAAACCTTTTTCATTAGTTTTCCTTTTACTCTAAGGGTTAGACTAGGTTAGGAGAGCATTCCTGAGTAAAGCTATTAACAATTTTTCTTTGCCATATATGTAGCTGGAATTATTATCTTTCTCACTACTTTAATTGTGTGGTTGCAAGCGAACACCATATGCAAGAAGGCGCTATATACAAGTGTAACATGGGGTGGTCTCGAGTTGTAATCAAACCTGAATGTGGCATGAAAAACTATTCAACGGTTTAACTTCTAGAACTTTAATAGAATACAAGCAGACAACGAAAAAAAAAAATTAGAGTCTAACAACTAAAGCAATCGAGAACTAATGTTTATTGTCATGCTAAACAAGCTGAACAGCAATAGCAGAAACCACACGTCCACAAGCACATGGTGAAACCCCATGCTCTGAGCAACAGAAACACCATAATAAAGTTCCCAAACTTCTGCAGTAAGAACTTCCCCAAACCCTAATTTGACATCAAACCTACAGAACATGGTTTCGGTTACGTATCTGAAAAGGTAAGTGTTTTGTTTCATTGTTCTGCATTACTTATATACCACATGGCGAAAAGATCTAAGAAAAATTCATCATCCAGCAAGAATTTTATGAATATAGCACAAGATGGCATTGCTATATCAAAATAAAGGAGCCCAAACATTTTATTGCACAAACATAACAACATGATTAACAAAAAATGAGAAAAAGAAAACAGAAATAATCAAAAGTACTCTAAACTAGATCCCAAAACCATGATAACCACCACCAAATTGGCCACCGTGACCACTAAAACCATTTGTCATCATTGGGAGATGACAAAGTCGATGAACTGCTGGAATCGGTGGAAGCGCCCCCGGGTTCAACGTCCCATTCAAAATCTTCATCTCATGAAACCTAGCAGCAACCTTCTTCCTCACATCCTCTAATGCGATCAAGTAATGCTCGACTTCCTGCACATCCAACGCATCCAAGTCAACACTCTCATCCTCCCACCAAAACCTCTCATCACACCCACCCACTACACCCATCACAACCTTCTTCATCTTTGCCGCCTCTTTGACCTCCGCAACTCTCTTCTTCTGTTCCTCCAACTCCCTAATAGCCTCCATGTAATCCTTGTTGAACTCTGCCACGGGAACCCTATTAGGGCTTTGATCTCCTGCCGTATCATCAGACACTGCAGGAGGAGTTACCCCACTGCAATACCAGTCTAGAATGGTGTCCATGCTAGGGTGCCCATAGCAAAACACTTTTCCTGCTGTCGAGAAAACAATGACCGCCACATCAGCGCCGCACAAAACGCTCAGTTCCGCAGCCTTCTTGAATATACCAGCGCGGCGCTTGGAGAAGGTGACTTGTTTGCTGTTAAGGTTCTCAAGTTTCTTGATCTCGATCCTCTTTCGACCTTGGGTCTTCTTGGGAAGATTTTTTAAGAGAACCATGGTGATAATATTGGAGTTCGATAAAGATCAAAGAGGACCGTTAACACTAACTAGCATTAGCACAAAGTAAACATATTGTATGGTGGGTTCATTTAGGAGAGTTTTCAATTGTCATTTTGTTTGACTTTGCACCTAATTAATTTCTAATTTTTTGCGAATTTATTTTCTCAAAACTTTTAATTGATAGGATTGATGATGAGGAAGACCATTAGTGCACTATACCTGTTTGATCCTAATTTGTTAAATATATACCAAAATATCAGCATTAGATATTCATATACCAAACGATGTGCAAGGTTAATTAATTCAAATTTGAATTATGAAACTAGTTAAATTTAATTAATTTCTACCTTTGTGATTAAGTAAATATTTACAATTATGTTTTGGACATTATAATTTGAGTTTTGAGTATATGTATAAGTAAAAACTTGAAGCCCTTACGTTAAATATGTTTTCTTTACCATTAATTAATATATTAAGGTGTTCCTAAGTTTCTGCTAGAACTACTAGAAAATATATAGAAAAAAGGAATTAATAATTTTTTTTTCTACATTTCCTAAATTTTGGTGTTTTGAAAACTTTGGTGAAATTGTGTCTGTGTAAATAAGAGACAATTAGCAGTATCTTAAGCAGAGAAGATTGCGGCTTAATTACCACAATTGAAGATTAATTTAAATCAAATCGAATTTTTTTTTTTCAAACAAATGTTCTCATAGATCAATTAATTGCCACAAATGCAGATGTTTTGTCCAACCACATAAACGATGCTATGGTATAACTTACAAAGGCCTTGCTTTCGGCCTGCTGATAAATTGTCTGTTACTTTTTTTTTATTTTTTTATTTTTTATTTTTTTTATTTTAAAGGAACAACTAGTGACAAACCATGTTTATCCATCGTTTTCGAGAGCCAGAAAGACTCACAGAGCCATTCCAGCCTCCCCCTAGCCACAAGTCTGGCACCAGTAGCGGGTTTCGAACTCGAGACCTCCAGTTTTAATTTGAAGAAAGTCTTGCAATCTATTTTTTACCACTAGACCATCAGCTCGTAGTTGATAATTGTGTTATTTCATTTCTGTCCTCTGTGGCTTGCGTTTAACAAACTGGCAGGCACCGGCGGAACTACTAACAGGCTGGGGTGGGCTTTAGCCCAAGGAAAAATAGCAAGCGGACCCTAATACTTTATATATGAACAAATAGTCCTTATTATAAACATGTAGCACTCACTATGAAAAGGCAATTATGATGTCTTTAAATTCGCCCTATATTAAATGGCTTTTTAGTCAAAATAATTCTTGAGATTTGCATAACTCCTTACTTTGGTCTCTGAGATATAAAATCAATAGAAGTGGTCCCTGAGTTTGTCCACCATTAATCATTTTTGTCATTCAGTAAAAAATCTTCATTAAATAAGAATAAAATGACCAAAATACCTTTAATTTTATCAAATCATTTTGGTGCATTGTTTATTTATCATTTTGATCCTTATCTAACATAACTTTGCACGAAATTACCAAAATGATTGATGGTGGACAATCTCAGGGACCACTTCTACTGGTTTTAGATCTCAGGGACCAAAGTAATGTGTTATGCAAATCTCAATGACTATTTTGGCTAAAAAGCCTATTAAGAATAATGTTTGGCTACTAAAAAATGAGTAGGAAAGCTTACTTAAAACTCTTCATGTTCGAATTACAGAGGTTTATATTTAAAATCAGAACCGTTCATATTATAAATCACTTTGTAATGATTATCTCTGCAATAGTTCATTTGTTTTTATACAATTTGATAACTAAATGACCTTAGTTTTAACTAAACTAGCTGGTGGCCTAGTGGTAAAGGGCAAATTGCGAGGCTTCCTTCAAACTAAAAATTGGAGGTCTCAGGTTCGAAACCCACTACTGGTGTGGAAGCCAGACTTGTGGCCAGGTGAGGCTGAAATGCCTCTGTGAGTCTTTCTGACCCTTGGAAGGGCTAGATAACCATGACTTGCCACCAGTTATCCCCTCTTTTTTTTTTTAAAAAAAAAATTTAGTATGAATGTTCTAATCATGAACACAAAATCTTATGAATCACAATGAATAGTTTTGAGTAGGAAATCCTACTTATTCTTTGAGTAGCAAAGTATATATTAATCCTATATTAACTAGAGGGTTTCTCTAGTGGGGACATTGCTAAATAGTAAATACATGCGCTATTTTCACATATCGTTTTGACCATTTCTACGGCTGGTGTGAAATTAAGGATGGCAACGGTTCGGTTTGGGGACGGAAATGTCCATCCCCATAACCACAAAAATTAACCATATCCATAACCACAAATTAACCATCGGGGATTATCCATAATCATATCCACTGGGTAACGGATTTTCAATCGGTTATCGGTTATATCCATCTTCGTCAAATAACAAAAAAAAAATTTATATTCATCCAATTGACGCATTATAAATTTTAGTAGATACTAATTCTGTCATTAAATAGCAACATCCAATTACAAAAAACATAACAATATATTTGAAGTTGTTCATGATAACATGCACCAATTTCTTGACAGCGATACTCTTAAAGAGAGATGAATCTGATAAACTTGTAACATTTGATAATTGATATATAAAATGATTCAATGAATTAACTTGGTTGAGCATAACAATAAGAGTATTGAATTGATGAGGTTATTGGTATGCCCCATGCATGGTGCATAATAAAGATAGCATAGGGTTTGATGCATGCATAATGAATTAGTATAGGGAGGGTTCGGTAAATTGAATAAAATTATATTATATATCAAATATATACATGTATAATATATTCAGGTCGGATTCGGGAACGGATACGGATTGGGGACCCCTATAACCATATCCAAAACCATAACCGAATAAAGTTCACGGCTTTTCCCCATATCCATACCATACCCAAATTTTCATATCCAAATCCAATCCATTTGGACGGTTATCCACGGTTATCGGGTTTAACGGTTAGAATTGCCGTCCCTATGTGAAATTTTTATTAATGCTATAACTGGGTCTTTTCGATGACCCCGTAAAAGCATATAACCCAATAACTTCTCTCTCTCGGATCGCCACCTCAACTTAATTTCACCCCCTTTCCATCTCTATGACTCTCTCCTCCATCGAAACCAACTACGCCTTCATCGGAGCCGGTTTGGATCTCCTTCTCTTAATCCTCAAAGCCCAGCCGTCGCCTAATTTTGCTTTGCTTGGTTAAACAACCAGATCAATAACCATAAGCCATATATTGGCGGATTGAATTTTTACACATGTAAAAATCGGATCCAAATATGATTTCTTTTGGTTGCATTTTTGTATGTTTTTATGTTTATGTCAAAAGCTATGGAAAAATAGCCATGAACTAGCTTGTTTTATTCGAAATTATTTATATTATTTATACTATTTCTAGAAAGACTAGTAACCGAATGTATACCAAAAAATTAAAGAAAAACTAATAAAAAGAGTTTGAAAACTTTGAGTTTTAACGATAAGGACAAAATAAAGGGTAAAGTGAATGTAGGATTGACTTTTTAGTGTTAAAATGTGATTTTTCGTTAAAGTGAACAGTATCAGGAGTTTTTCGTTAGATTTTTAGCTATAATTTTTGCTAGCCCATCTGCTATAAAATTCATGGTTCCTCCCTTGCTAGCAGGATTAGTGGCATTGTAACATAAGTTCCTCGAGAAACTTACGATGCCATTATACTTAATGCATTCTGCAGCATGGTAATTCCGGCTGCCTTCTTTTGCAGAGAAGGTTTATCGGTCCCAAGAGCTTGTTATTATGATGAACATCGTTGCAATAGTGAAAGGACGTTAAGCATGGCGGCGATCATAGTATTTCTAGAGCTATGAGAGTACATTGCTTGATCTGGTTGCCAAAGATGAACTGACGTCTATTTTAACAATAATCGAGGAGGATTGGTTGCCGTAGACAAGACGGAGAAAATGGCGGCAATCAAAGCTGCTGTGGTCATTTTTTATACTTGAACATTGAAGACTACAATTTACAATTCAAATTCTCAAATACTAAAATATCTTATAATTCTTAAAAGGAGATAGAAATTACTAGGAAATAGAATAGCTTCTATGACGATAGGCGTAAAGGATACGAATAGAATAAAGGTTCATGACATGATATTCCACAAATCTCACTGCTATTCTTCCAGACTTGAAGCCAAGTAAAAGTGGAATGTTGATGTGTTTGGGAATTAGAAGGGAAAAGAGGAGTAAGGATTTAGTGATCAACTCTTCTAGCAATCGTGTTGATCAAAACAATCATTTGTCTACAAGACAAGGAAACTTATACCAAATCAAATCATATCAACTTCTTAATTAAATCATATAAATCACTAATTAAATCATATCCCTAAAATATTTTCTTTTTAATTTTCCAACACTAACAAGAGTGAGATGCAAGTGATGGATTGTCCTAATAGTTAGGGCTTTTTTCTTCAACCCACAAAGTCTTCAGTTCAAACCCTCTACTTTAAAATAGATTGGTATAAAATATCGCATATAATAAAATAAATAAATAATAAGACTTGGTGAGGGCATGAGACCAATATTATGCACTTCTTATGCTTGTAGGATATCTTGGAATACACGTAATTCTGAATAAATTGGGACGTTGATTGAATATAATTGAAAACGATGTTTAATAAATTCTTTGAAAAGGGAACTACAATCATGCCGTGATTTATCCATTATTACACAGACAATTCCAAAGGATAGGAAGTCAAATTTTATGATGTGCAAGTCTCACCTAGTTTTTTTTTTCAAAGGTAGAAACTTTTCGGCTAGATTGTCGCGAAGGCTATATCATGAGTTTCTTTTTCGTTCTTGAATTCTACTAATAGTTTCTCCCGTCCTTTAATTATGTCATTTGTTGCATTAGCAGTCTTTTTGTAACAGCCCGTCGCTAAAAAGTATAAATTTTTTTATAATTTTATTACGTGAAATTACGGAAATACCCTAGGGCAAAGCGTAATTTTTT